CACCCCCACCCAACCCCCCCCAGCCAGCCTCTGACATGATGGGCTCGGGGGAGGTTCTGGAAGACCCCCATGGAAAAGGCCCCCTCCGGGACGCTCAGCAGGACGCCTCGCCTGGCAAACGCCCCCCCCCCCTTCCTCCGGCCCGAAAGGAAAATGTGATTCATCTCATTCAGGCTACAAAACAAAAAAACCTCCGCTGCTTGCCCGCCCGCCCGCCGGCCCGCCCGGCAGCTGCAGAGCGCACAGCCTGCAAAAAAAGAGGCGGGGGGCGGGGCCAGGAGAGGGAAGGGGGCGGGGGGGCAGCCCTTCTCTGCAACGCAACCCCGGGCCCCTCCCTTGCAGAAAGGCAACACGATGATGGGGGCCAGGCGGGAGGAAGAGGGCCAGGCTGGAAAGGAGGGGGCGGGTCTGCAGAAGAGCTCCGCCCACGGCCCGTCCCACCCACCCCGCTCAACGTGGCCCTCCCCCCAATGGCAGGAAGTCACGAGGTGCGCCGCCACCGATGCCCAGAAGGGAGCAGGTATTGCTGTGTGCAGGTGTGGGGGAGAGAAGGGGGACTGTGCAAACTTAACTCTGAATTGTGTCCACCGACCCACGGGGCTGGGGAGGAAAGAGGGATTACCCTGTACCTATAGTTGCTACTTTTTAAGTTCACCCTAACCATGTGCCCCGCTTGACCTGCCACGGCTGTGAGGGGGGGGGGCTTAGCGGGGTCAGGAAACAACCTCCCGCTCCCCTCTGGACAAACAGCAGTAAATTACGGCCCAAACGCTTTCCCGGCTCCGTACTCTTCTTCTTTCCCCCACCCCCCAGGTTTTCAGAAGGAAGAGGGAACATGTTCCACCACAGGCTATCTCTCCCCCACCCCCACCCCCGCCAAAACGTATCCCTCCCGGAGCCTCTCCTCCAGACCGGCTGTGTCCCTTCTTCGTAGTCCCTCACAGCCGGTTGCCTTTCTTCAGCCGCTCGGAAGCCGTGGGGTCTCCTCTGCTCTCCCTTGCGGCGCTGCCCCCCATGGCCATGCCCCCATTGGATCCGGGGGCGCCTGCCTCGTGGGCCTGGCTCCGGCAGGGGTTCATCGCGTAGCTGAAGACGCTCGGCAGGAAGGGGAGGGGTTGCCCCTTCTCATCCGGGACGACCATGTTCAGAGCCACCGGCAGGGTGAAGTTGTAGGGGTAGGCGGCCAGGAGCTGATGGCCGTACATCAAGGGGTACGGATCGGGGTAGAAGCTCACCTTGCCGTCGCTCTCGCTGCCGCCCGCTTTACCCACAGCGTTGAACTGGATGGCGCTGGGGTAAGTGAGGAAGGAAGCTTTGTCCTCCAGGTCCTTCCTGGTCCGACAGCTGCCCGGCACCAAGAGCGGCAAGGGGTACTCCTGGACCGGGTACCGATCCTCCTCGATCTCCTGTGGGGCCAGAGCCGGTTTCTGGATCAGACCCGTATGGGAGATGACGGGGTCCTGGAGGGAGTGGGACAAAGGTGGTGGCATGTCAGCGAGGCTGGTGGCAGCCTCCAGAGGTGGCGGAGGGACGGGCACCTCCTCGCAGAAGGGGGGCTTGCTTTCAGCCAGCAGTGGTGCGATCTCCTCTTCCGGCAGCAGTGCCGGCGTGCGGCCCATGGAGGGCTGCGTTTCCATTGCTATGGGTCCCTCTTCCGGAAGCTCGTGCTGAGACAGGGGGGCCTCTCCGCTCGAGGAGGACACCTGCATCTCTTGCGTGGTCTCCTCCTTGATTACCGGCGACGGGGCTGCCGGGGGCAAGTCGGTGGTCTTTTTGGAATAGGCGATGACAGTGGTGAGGGCAGGCAAGGGGGTGTCCTCGGTCTGTTCCCCCTCGTGCCGTTTCATGTGGCGGCTCAGGGCCGCTGCCGTCTTGCAGACCTTGGAGCAGTGAGTGCAGGTGAACTTCACCAGAGGCTTCCGGCCGACGCGGTGCGGTGTCGCCAGTAGCGGCGCCAGGGACGGGTCGTCTTTGCTGAGGCGGCCGTGTACCCGCTCATGCTTCCGCAGCTTCTTCAGGGCCGAGAACAGCTTGCCACAAACGCTACACTCGTGCTTCCAATCCGACCCCCGCCCGCCACCTGCTTTCGGAGGGGGGTCCGCCCCCTCGCTTTCGGAGGCCCCTCTGAGGCCTGCAGACATCTCGGCGGATGCGGGGCCGCTGGTCCCCACACTGACCTCCTCCTCCTCTTCCTCCTCCGCTTTCTCTGTCCGTTTCATCCAGCGCAGTGAGCGGAGCTTGCGGCGCCACCGGGACTTCTTCACCTTGGGCGCGGCACTGCCGCCGCCGCTCACCCCGCACGCCTTCCGTTTGGGCTTGTAGCTGTAGTACGGCCTCCAAAGCTGGTCTTCCGCATCCCCTCGGTCGCTGTCCTCCTCTCCGCTCTCGTTGGCGTAGCCCCTGTCGACACGCTTGCCGTGGGGGGCCAGCGCTGGTAGCGGCGGCGGCTTCTCCCCGCCAAAGTCAAAGCGCTTCCCCCCAACGCGGCTGCTTTTGTCCAGCATGAGGTCCGTCTCAGAGATGCGCCGCTTGACTATGGCTTCCTCTCCGATGCGCACAGTGATCTGGCAGAGCGGGGCGGATCGGCTTTCCGAGGCGGTGCCCACGTATGCCGGCTTGGCCATGTACGTCATGGTACGCCCAACCCGGGGGCCCCTTGTCCTGTGCCCGTGGTCACTCCCGTTCTCATCCAAGGCTTGCTCAGCTGCCTTCTGGGACTGGATGTACTCTTTCAGTACTTGTTTCTTGATGGGCTTTGCCGCAACAGAGGAAGGCGGCGGCAGCGGTTGTGGAGGAGAGGGTCCAGTATCTGATGGTGCGTCTGACGATTTGCTCTTGTACGTTATCACAGACGGGGCGGCCTGTGCCAGCACCGAAGTGCTGTGGACAATGACGGAAGAGGCCGGGCGTCCGTAGGCAATGACTGTGGGTGCTTCTGGGCCCAGGGGTCCTGGCCGCTTATCTTGTGCTGTCTTTTCAGCCGCAGCAGGGAGCACGGGCATTTCTGGCGCACCCACCGGCTCCTGCCGCGCAAAGGGTTCTGCTTTAGACAACTCCAAGGTACCACCATTGGGAGGGAAGGCGGAAGAGACGTCACTGGCCCCCAGAGAGGAGACCAGATTCCCATCCAAGGAGTCCCCGTCCCCCAACGTCATGGGAATGGGCTGACCGGGCAGCAGGAGGTTATCCGCCATCAGGCCCTGGCTGTAGGTCTTGTAGGGCCTTTTCTGGGAACGCATCGGCAAGAGCCGGTAGAGCTTGAGCGCGTTGAGTTTCGGCTTGTAGCCCCCGTTGGGCGTCTTTTCGGAAGAGATGAGCCCCGGGTTGATCCCGTGGAAGGCCTTCTGATGGGTCTTCAAGTTATAGTAGGTGACGAAAGTCTCCCAGCAGAAGATGCACTGGTAGCGCCTCTCCCCCGTGTGCCAGACCTCGTGCTTGGTGCGGTATTCCGCCAACGCGAAGACTTTGTCGCAGTAGCGGCATGGGTACTTCCGCCGCCAGGAGTGGACGTTGGAATGGCGCTTGAGGCTCGAGAGGGTCATGTAGGACCGCTCGCAGACGGTGCAGAAGTAGATGATGTGTCCGTCCACCACTTTGACAAAGTGGTCTTGGTCGGAGATATAGTCCAGTCGCGGCAGGCCCCGGTGGCGGAACAGGAGGCCCTTCTTGGAAGATGACGGCGCCAACGCCGGCTTGGAAGGGAGCCCCGGGTTGGGCAGCGTCTCAACCGCGGGGACAGGCTCCTCGGTCTTCTCCCCTCCCTTGCACAAGACCTCGTGCGTCTGCAGCCGCTTGATGTGGATAAAGCTCTTTCCGCAGTGACGGCAAGACAAGGAACGCCGCGTCCGGTGGAGCTTCACGTGCAGGCTGAGTGCGGACGCTGTTGTGAAGGAGCGGCTGCAGCTGCCACAACAGAACGTGCTGCTCGCTGGGTAGGAAGCGCCCGATGGGGATGAGGAAGAAGAGGCGGGCGCTTGGGACGTCTCCGTGTCAGTGGTGGCCACGGGGGGCTTCCCGGAGGGACTGTCGTGGTCCCAAGCGACGCTTCCCTTCAGCATGAAAGCAAGGTCAGGCGGCGACACCACTGTGGCCGGTACCGTGGCCGCGGAGCTGAGGTTGTAGAGGATCTTAGCCGTCTCTGTTTCGGTGTCAGGGCGGGCATCCCGCTCAGGGCTAGGCACTTTGGCCAGTTCCTGGAAGCAGAGAGGACTGGCGGGCTCGGTCGAGCGGGAAGGGCAGGTGAGGTCGATCGGTGAGCCGCAGGGCCCGGAGGAAACCACGCCGGAGTCGTCCATCTTGGCGTCGGCCGAGGGGTCATCCAGGTTCTCCAAGCGGGAAATGCCCAAGCGTCGGCCGACGACCCCGATATCCTTGGCGGCCGCCGGGCTGGGCACGGAGAGGTGGGCGTTGTAGATGAAGTTGAGGATATCGGAGAAGACCTCGGCCTGGATGTCTGGAAGCTCCAGGATCTGGCTCGGCTGGCGGCTGGCCGACTCCTCCAGAAGCACCTCCTTAAAGTACGGGCTGGAGGCGGCGAGAACGTTCTTGTGGGCCTTGAACTTTGTGTCTTCGGCAATGATGGTGACGTCGCAGAACTGGCCGCGCAGGCGCTGCTCGTTCAGCTGGAGCAGGAGGGAGCTGGCGTGGCCGACATCTGTGACCTCCACAACCGCCATCGTGCTGCCTCACACCTGCAGAGAGAGAAAGGGAGCTTGTCAATACCTCTTTAAGGGAAGGGGGACGGGGCGGCACAGCTACCAGAGCAAGGAGTCACAGCTAGGGGATTCTCCTAGGTCTGAGCAGAGGAGACTGGCACTCAAAGGGCCTGGGCATTCATCAGGGTGGGTGCAGGGGAGGAGGACAAGGAAACCAGGTTTGAATCCCCCCCCCCCCCTCGTCAACACCTCTTTAAGGGAAGGGGGACGGGGTGGCATAGCTACAGGAGCAAGGAGTCACAGCTAGGGGACTGGCACTCAAAGGGCTGGGCATTCATCAGGGTGGGTACAGCGGAGGACAAGGAAACCAGGTTTGAAAACCCCCCCTCGCCGTGAAAGCTTGTTGGGCGACCTTGGGCTATCAGGAAAGGTTGAAGGAGCTGGGAATGATGATATCCGAAGGGCTGTCATTATAGAGGATGGTGCGGGGTTGTTTTCGGTTGCCCCAGAAGGTCGGGCCAAAACCAACGGGTTGAAATTAAATCATTTGGCTAAACATTCGGAAGGACTTTTTGACA